GTAGTTCATTCATCGGTGAAAGCTACGTGTAGTTCATTCATCAATGAAAGCTACGTGTAGTTCATTCATCGGTGAAAGCTACGTGTAGTTCATTCATCGATGAAAGCTACGTGTAGTATGATTAAATGCCACTTTTCTTCCATCCTCCAAAACAGAATACACGCAAAACGTTTAGGATTTGAATATAATGTTATGCGAAAAAAAATACCCTCCCTTTCTCACCCCGGTGACTCAGCGATGTGTCTATTACCGATGAAAATCAAGTTTCGATACCACCGGTTGACACAGAACAGATAACATATTATGTAGCTTTGTGCATAAAAAAATGAAGTACAAAATAATTGTGTAATAACTGATAATACGCCGTTTAAGCTTAGGATGAAATATTTAGGAAAAGCTAGTAACTGTTGTTGAACTCTATAAAATGCTTTGTTTTATCTGTAGAAGCAATTGTTTTAAGTATAACTTTGTTTAAAAGTGACTTAGGAAATTATTGTCTCAACAAAGTTTTATGAACCGCTCTGAGTAACGGCGAACACTTCAGTCATAATCCACCTTTACTACTACTTAGTTTGTTTTTGTGTGTGAGTATTTTTTTTTCTTATAGCAAAGCCATATAAGGCTATCTGCTGTGTCCACCGAGGGGAATAGAACCCCTGATTTTAGTATACATCCGAAGACTTACCGCTGTCCCAGCGAGGGACTACTACTACTTAGAAGTTCGATATGAAAAAAAAACAACAACTTCCAACTAATACTGTTCTTTCACATTCCTTTCTTCACCATGAGTAGCTACATTTTAAACCGTGTTTTTAATCACGATTGGCTAATGACTTCAGTTTATTAGGATGAGAACGGCTAACGTAGAAAGAGTTTTAAAGAAGGACAGTCTTCTATAATTGATTATGGAAGATTTGACCTTTTTAATTTTGTATCTGATAGAAATAATCTTCTCTTTGAATTATATTTTTAACCTAAAAGAAAAACAACAGTTTTTATAAGGAAAGTGCTCCTTTTTTGAAGGATTGAAAAGGCGTCTTTTTTATTTTGCTGGAAAGCAATTTTATTTAGTATTTGTAAATTTTGCAATAAATAACTGTAATTATTTTCCACTAGGGCAGAAAATGTACGCATGCGCATTCCTGTCAGAAAATAAAATTGCAATTATTACATGTAATAAATCAGAATTTATTGATGTCTTCTAGACTTGTTAAAGAATGTGTTTTTGTTGTTGATTTTTATCGATGAAAAAAAGATGTCCTTATGAGCTAAATACAAACAAAAACGATAAATAATGATAATAACAATTATATTTTCATATTAAAAATGTAATATATTTATTGTCAGAATTTATGAAAGTTAAATAAAAGTTTAGTAATTCTAAAAGAAAAATACTATATCTGTTAGGACAGTTTTATTATCGGTGAAGGTTCTGGCATGGCTTGATGATTAGGACGATATACTTGCAGAATTCGCGCCACGGGATCGAAACGCGTAGCCGAACATGCTCACTCTTTCAGATGTAGAGACGTTATAATGTGGCGACTATTTCCACTATTCGTTGGTAAAAAATAGGTCACGGTGAGTGATTTTTTACTAGATGCCTGCCATCTAGTTCATCACTTCAAAATTAAAGACGACGAGAGGTGATAGCCCTCGAGGAGCTTTGGGTAAAATTCAACATACAGACGAGTAAATGATCGGTGAAATGAGTATTTGCGTGCGTGTGATTTTTTTTACTTCAAAGCCACGTAATAGGCTATCTGAGATCTGTTCACCGCGCGTAATTGAACCACGTATTTTAGAGGTGGAAGTCCGTAAGTTTACCGCTGACCCACCGAGAGATCAGTGTGATAATATCTGTAAGTGATATTTTTAACGGTATTATACTTTCGCAATATGAATTTCGTTGAACACTTGATATTAAAGTAAAATGACAAGTAAATTATTTCAAAGTCATGAATCAAGTAAAATTACTACTTCAATATATAAAATCGCACAAGTATTTAGATGTTAGTACAAAAAAAAAGATGCGTTATTTCTACCAGAGAAAGAAGTGATATATACGTGTGTGGTCCTCCAGTAGGATAGCGGTACCTCTACGGACTTACAACGCTAAAATCACGTATATACGTGTGTGGTCCCCCGGTAGGACAGCGGTACCTCTACGGACTTACAACGCTAAAATCATGTATATACGTGTGTAGTACCCCGGTAGGACAGCGGTAACTCTAGGAACTTATAATGATAAAATCACTTATACACGTGTGTGTTACCCCGTTAGGGTAGCGGTAACTCTACGGATTTACAACGCTAAAATCAGGGTTTCGACTTCCCTCGGTGGACACAGCAGATTGACCCATATGTTTCTTTATTTCAATTAGTGACTTACAAATGGTAATGTTCCGTTGTATTTTTATAAGAGTATTTGTCTTCAATCTAACTTTTACGTTAATTCTGAAAAACTGGGTTGAATATTAAAGCGTTTTATTGCTTCTCTAATAAAATAATATGAATTTTTAATACTAAAAAGTTTGCTATTTCCAAGAGGTTTAATGTGCAACAGTATCAATTACTAATATTTGTTCTTTCTTGGATAAATAACATCGTGAAAGGAGTACTGAATGAGAGCAGATTTTAGCACCCTTAAATTAAAAGATTAAGATGAAAACAATAAAATGAAACACACAGACAAGTCAAACAAATCTATAGATTGTTAGATAAAAGTATTTTACTACACTGTATGTTTCTGTAGCCTCTATATATAGTACAGATAACTCATGACATAAAGATCAATTCAACATTTATAATCACAGCTTACTATATTGTAAATGCATCCACATTAACAATCTTCCAAACAAAAGATTATGTACAATGGGTGAAATCAGAATTAGGGTAGAATATTATTTTTGTCTTCATTATACATAAACAGACAAAAACAGCAATTTTTTTATATGTTACATGAGAGATGTCCAAATCATGATATACCTTAGATTCTCTTAAAATGTTACTGATTAAGTATTCACTTGTTAATATAAATGTGTTTGTGCTACTCTCAAGTATTCACTTGTTAATACGAATGTGTTTGTGTTACTCTCAAGTATTCACTTGTTAATACGAATGTGTTTGTGTTACTGATCAAGTATTCACTTGTTAATACAAATGTGTTTGTGTTACTCTCAGGTATTCACTTGTTAATACGAATGTGTTTGTGTTACTGATCAAATATTCACTTGTTAATACGAATGTGTTTGTGTTACTGATCAAGTATTCACTTGTTAATACGAATGTGTTTGTGTTACTGATCAAGTATTCACTTGTTAATACGAATGTGTTTGTGACGTTTAGATGAAGCAGTAAATGTTACCCTAGTTCTCTGGTACACATATTATACATCGAAACCTGCATACACTTAACCACAGCTAGTAAGATTCACAGAAGCAACAGAGACAATGCAGTACAAAAAGGTTGGCGAACTTTGAGTTAACTGGATGTTATTGAAAGAATGTTTTCTGCCTTGTCCGTAATACAGAATACACTGTAACTCATGATGAAAGGTGATCCATTTGCCCAAAAGTATTTTCGTTTCGGATACCTGCCTAAAATTACATGAAAATTGATTATTTGACTAGTTTCATCGTAGGTCTGCCTCGAAATTATTAGGCCAGAAAATTTCAGCACATTCTCAAGTTAAGAAAATATATTCTTATTAAATCTAGCGCAATAGCAAATTCTCTATGAAAGAGCTTGGAAAATAACGATAATGTAAACAAATGTGCAAGTTACCTTACTCTCCTCTTGATATTAATGACTTGCAAGTTTTTACAAGAGTATGTTATGTGCCAGAAATGTTCGAAAAATCTATACACAATAAATAATCAGAACTTTAGACTATGTTGTCAAGATCACTTTCCATAAATATTTACTTATAAATCACGTTGCTTGTTTATATTCCAAACACCAGGACATTTCCATTATATTCTTTCTGTTTACTTAACCTAAGTAAAACATGGAAAGTAGCATTTTATGACTGTATTACTAGCGATGTGTCAGAGCATCGAAAGGGCTTCGCCTATTAAGCCCTCAAAATTATTCAAATCATTTTTTTTCCTTCAAAATTAGCCTTGATCCAATTAATATCATAGAATTCTTACCAAACTAACAATTGCTTACATGGGATTCATATTCGATTGAAGAAAAATATATAACTTTAATTTTGAAATATGAAAATAAGTACCGTATTTTTCGGCGTATAAGTCGAATGGGTTAAGTTTCTCATTTTTTCCACCTTCATTCATATAGAAGACGAGGATAGATCAAGTACACTGTGTTATATACTGTACGCCAGCGGAAGAAATATGGTGGAAGATGTGCAGTAATTTGAATATAGCGAAAATTAGCCAAATAAAAAAACGGAAAATACGAAATAAAAAATATATCAAGTTAAAATTATTTTATTACATACATGAAACGAGCAGATCACGTGATGATCTTCACAACTAAAAACTCGTACTCATTTTGTGAAACACTGAGAAATTTTGATGACTAATCCTTAGGTAAGTCGAGATGGTGTATAAGTCGAGGCTTGGGCAAACCGTGAAAAAAAGTATCGCATTATACGTTGAAAAAATACGGTAATCTACACTTGTGTAGTTTAATCACTATATAAGTAGCAGAAATTGAACACTCAGGAAATTTTGTTGTCTACTACGAATTTATTTGTTTAGGAAATATACTTTTATACCACTGCTAACGGTCCTTTTTAGTCACTATAGTTACGCGCTTGTCGGAATTTAGTAAGCTCAGATACAGCATTTAGTAAGCTCAGATACAGCTTTTTCATGATTATTACCACTATTACATAGCTAGACGATATTTCATTTTACTTTTGTGTCTTGTCTTCACCCCGTGAAATGTTTCACAATACGAAATGTTTACCACAAAGAAAAAACAACAATAAACATTCGAACTTGGAAATAATTTGATGAGTATTAGTTATGACCAGGTCCAGGCTGCAGCTCGAAACTCCCACAATCCATCTGCATGGAGGCACAATTTAAATTTTTCTTTCTTTATGTAATTCTCCAGTATGACTTTTATACTCAGTCCTTGGGCATTAAACAACTGAAAAATAGCAAACCATAGACTAAAAATAACTTAAATATAAATTCATTAAGTATATTTTAAATCATTAGTTTCAACCTGACATGAAGCTAAGAGTAAAAACACTTCTTAAACATTTCTATACGATATGCCTGGTAAAAAGTTACTGTAAAAACACTTCTTAAGCATTTCTATACGATATGCCTGGTAAAAAGTTACTGTAAAAACACTTCTTAAGCATTTCTATACGATATGCCTGGTAAGAAAGTTACTGTAAAAACACTTCTTAAACATTTCTATACGATATGCCTGGTAAAAAAGTTACTGTAAAAACACTTCTTAAACATTTCTATATGATATGCCTGGTAAAAAAGTTACTGTAAAAACACTTCTTAAGCATTTCTATACGATATGCCTGGTAAGAAAGTTACTGCGTTGTTTTTTATAATGTGATTAATTCGATGCATTACTTAACCCTTTTATGTAAAGAATCAGTACTTTTTATAAAATAATTTAACACGTCCTTCAGAAGCCAAGGGGTATCTTTACCCTACAATGTATTGCATATTAAAAGTAAGTTAAATCTGGAAACTCCCAAAAATGGTGGGTTTTGGATATATCTTTTCGAAACAATTTCGATACAATTTTTCTTTTCTTAAATGATAAATGGTTAAGTGAAGTACAGCATCCTCAGGTCTCCTTAATAGCAAGTACTAAAGTCTACCCGCTGGGAATAAATTCAGTATATATATATATATATATCAATAAAGCTACGTTCTCAGCATCATTAATTAAGCAATTGCCAAATTTTTATGCCTCTGCTATCACCTTTTTATGTTTAGCTTTCAATTAAGATACGAACGATTTCACCTTCGATTCAGTAGGGAGGGTCGAAGGATCACGATAGTTAACAGTAGGATGAGCAGACAGGGACATTTTGATAGCAGCTACAGGCATAATATTGTACTCGGCTTGTTGCACAAAATGTACCAAGGTGGTTCTAAACGGTTGCTGAATACCTCTGCGTGTCATTTGGCACGTTAAGCTCGTGATGCGCTGTCGAATATCAGTTACATTACCATTTTAAATCACTTTTCGCAGCCCCAACGCTAAAAAAATTCAGTTCAAGGTAAAAACCAGATTTGGTAGTTTTTGTTTTAAACAAAAATGTCCCCCACTGGCTCGTGAGGGGTCTGTTAAAAGTGGCTATATTATGTATATTTTACTCTTGTAAAACTTAAAGGAATTATACATGTAAAACGATTGGAGTAGGTTTTGATGTTGTAAAAGTAATTCTACTTTTATCACTCCCAAGTTATTTATTTTCTTATCTCTGAACAAGAAACTACTATTCCAATCTATCTAATAAACTACAATATAGCTTAATCAGTTTGGCTCTGTACGTTTGTGTACGGGTGTTTGCAATAAAGGACTTATTGAAAACTGGGATTTAGTGAGAATATAGACTTATTTGAGGCTACAGAAAACGTAGTATGCATATCTATTTGCTATCCACGGTTCAGTGATTTGCAGTTTAAATGTAGCTGGAAAATCAAATTTGAGTTAGTGTTATCAGTAACACATAAAATAATCGTTTAACTTTAAACCTCTTGTAGATTTTTATAGGCTTAGCGATTAGGTGAAGTGATATATGAACGAGTAATTAGTGAAAGACAGTCGCAGGTCATAACAGATAGCAACTTATCTTTGAAAGAAACGTCATTAATTTCTATTCGAAGATTAGAAGATAACGTCTCTCACTTTCCTAAGCGCAATTCAAGAAAGTCGTTTCATGTTTTTCTCAACCAAGTATATCTTAAAATGTTGTGTTTGCTATTCATTAAAAATAACGGAAAAAATATTAAAAAAATAGCTCGCACACTTACACTGCATTCAAAATTAAACTTAATAGCAATTGATTAACTCATGTTTTAGGACCTTAGACAGATTGCTGAAATTGGATGAAATTTTGACATTAAGCACATTTTGGAAGGAATATGTATAAGTATTTTCTACAACAACTGATGTAGAAAAAAACTTGACAGAATTAATGAAAAAACTGAGAAATCGCAACATAGTCTTAAAAGATAATTAAATAATAATAAATTAGTGATCTATGAAGAATAAAACTTGAAATGATTTTCTAAACGTATTTAATAGCATCTGCTTATGCTGTTTTTTAAACTTGGTTATTAAATCATTATAGTTCCTTTCCAATTCTCTAATTAATGACATATTTTTTGTGTTTAGACCAACATCATACTTTAAGCCGTCTAGAAAATTTAATTACAGATAGTCGGGATGAAGCCGCTACTTCATGTTTTGTATAATTAACTTAAGTAGAAATTTTATGAAGACATTTCAAAATGTCCTACAACTGTGAATCATAAGGAAATGAATGCAATACAACAAAAACATTAAAATATCGATAATTTTGATTTAGGAAAGAAAACAACGTTGAATAAAGGAAATCTAGACTTTTATAACGTCTTTATGTTTTAAGACATCACATATCTTTACAGATCTTTGACGGTGTTTAAGATTTTTCCTTATTCAGCAACATGACTTTTACTATTTTTTTTAAGATCATTACGTCATTACATAGTGTATATACATTTATAAGTAAGTAAATAGTACTAATACTATATGTTATATCAAAACAAAACCGAGATGTTAATCATGAGACTGACAAAAAGAAAAGAAAGTTGCCCATTAACTCATAACAAAAATATATGTGGTCATAGCAACCAGAGGTATCAGACATGATCCAAACGCAGATGTCGATCTACTCAGCAGCTATGAAGAATCAGTTAAAAGATAGGAGCTGATTGCTTAAACCCACAAGTCTCAATTCTTACTGACTTTCACTGTCTGCAGCCAGTTGTAAGAAGACAGTCACCCCTAATATTTTGACATAAAATGCAATGTTGCAATAATATTGTGGTGGAGATAAGCCACCCTATATTTCTACCTTTATATGACTTCTAATCTCCACCCCTCAGGTGGTTTAAGAGAGAATGTGCCAGTCTGTGTTTACATAATAACAGAGAATGAGAAAATGCCAGTCTGTGTTTGCATAATAACAGAGAATGAGAAAATGCCAGTCTGTGTTAGAATAATAATAGAAAATGAGAACCTGCCAGACTGTGTTAAGATAATAATGAAGAATGAAAACACAGATGTGCCGGTCTGTGTTAAGATAATAATAGAGAATGAGAAAATGCCAGTCTATGTTCAGATGATAATAGAGAATGAGAACGTGCCAGTCTGTGTTAAGATAATAATAGAGAATGAGAACGTGCCGGTCTGTGTTAATATGATAATAGAGAATGAGAACGTGCCACTCTGTGTTAAGATAATAATAGAGACTGAGAACGTGCCAGTCTGTGTTAAGATAATAATAGAGAATGAGAACGTGCCAGTCTGTGTTAAGATAATAATAGAGAATGAGAACGTGCCGGTCTGTGTTAAGATAATAATAGAGAATGAGAAAATGCCAGTCTATGTTAAGATAATAATAGAGAATGAGAACGTGCCAATCTGTGTTAAGATAATAATACAGAATGATAATGTGCCAGTCTGTTGTGACGGATTTATTATTATACATTTATCTTAATATCGATGTTTGTTTAAATTAAATTTATATTTGGAAATGTTCATAACTTATACTGTTAAATATGTATTGCGAAACTCCCGCCTATTCTCTAAAGTTAAGACAAGGTTTTGTTCCTTTATCACTTTTCTCGATCCAGTAATTTTAGGGTAGCAACAAACAACATTCAGACGTCATAAATGATGACCTACTTCGACTGATTCTTAAAAGCTTAATTTTGTTTCTGTCTCAGATAACCCGATGTCTGATAATGCTTATTACATATAGATCTGTTTGTTTCTAGCTGTTGATTATTATTTGTGTCATTACTGGTTTGACATCAACAAATTGTGCTTAGTTTTGTTCGTGACTCAGATTTAATACAGAGTGTTATGAGTTACTATAGTTTCAAAAGGTAAGCTTTATGTGTTAAAATTGATGTGTGATGTTTTCATTATTATACAAAAACTTTTTCCATATGTAATACATTTAGTTTTATGCAATTAGTGTATTTAAGCAACAAATAACAATATTGAAAGTAGATTGTTATCCCGATATAGAACAGGTAGTTCATGTAGTTTTTTTCTTTTCTACATTACACAACTATTGAATACTTAATCATCTTATAGGTAAGTGTTATTATGACGATCATGGTGGGCTTAATAATATTAAAGATACATATCCCAGAACAAGAACTTGAAGTATGAATAGACCATAAGTATACATATCCCAGAACAAGAACTTGAAGTATGAATAGACCATAAGTATACATATCCCAGAACAAGAACTTGAAGTATGAATAGACCATAAGTAATTACCATAATAAGAAATATTTTCAGTCCAAACGACACCTTATACAATATATGAGCTCATTCAGAGACCTCAAGGTATAGCCATCCCTAACTTTGAACTCTTGACAAAGGAAGGAAAAACCATTCAGAAATAACTGACGCCTACACAGTTACTCTTAACGTAAAAAAAAACAAAAAAAAACAGAAAACACAGATTGACTGTTCAACAAGATATCACACCCCTGAATCATGGACTTTCGAATCAGCAGCCAAATAGTTAATAGTTAGCTCCATAATAATAATAATAGTTATTACAGTTGTTCATTGTTTGTGAAAGCCTCGTGGCTCATTATTAGTAAGATTTGTTCTGCAACTTCAAATATATTCGACGGCTTACCTCTCTCCTACGTCACTGTTGTTGGCTTAAACTCTACTCTCTTGCCTGTTGTTAGATAATACAATTTCCCGAGAAGGTCCAGGCTGATCAGGCCCTTTTCTCGTAATTTCAAGTGGAGCCTGATAGAGCTGCCTGGTAATATATAAAGATGACTGGAGGTCTGTCGATTCATCTGGCTAAAATTAAAAAAAGATATACAAAATTAAATATTATAATTTTTATTAGACATGAAGGAGAGAATATTTTTTTTATAATAGAAAAAAATCAATAACTTGGAAAATCTTCATGATACACAAAAGTCACAAACAATAAGTAATGGAAACTAGATGGGGAATTTATTAACAGTACTAAACATTATCGCAGAAAATGTAAAAGAAAAACGTATAAATTGTACAATGCACCAATATTTTGTGCTTTACACAGAACATTATATCTTGTTTTATGCTGCAACATACATCTTACCAATGTGCAATGATAATATATTTTCAAATGTCCTATATTGCTTACGACAATTCAGCCAAGTTGTTTTGTCTAATTTTGACATTTTCAGTTTTCACCTAAGCCCAGAGAGGCAATGAATATCAATACTGAGACTTTGTGCAGGCCGAAGCATGATAGCGAGTGTTCTATCGGCCTCTTTACTGTCAAAATATAGTTCCCCATTTTTGCTATGTACTCGGGGTCATTGTTTTTATTGAAGACGAATTCCTGACTGAAATATTCATGAGCCATGCATTTTCCCAACAGATGACTTAATGAACCAAAATTTGTCCGTGCTTGTGAACAGTCAGGGTGTCATTAATTTTGAGTAGTTTTTGGCATTGATGGCTCAGATGCAATCCAAAGCTTCTGCAGAGTTCCACTATACTGTAGACGTTGTATATTGATTATGATACAGTTCTTCTCTCTGCAGTTGAACAAACTGTCTTGATTGTGTCAATCAATTCGAAATTGGATTTATTTGAAAAAAGCACAAGTATTAGGCCTTTCTTATTCCACTGTTTGTGCTTCCATGATCATATTAACTTTGTGGTTTGGTTCACCTTCTCTCTGGAGCATTTATTCAAACCAATTCTTGCTGAAGGTAATATTCACTTCGTGTAAAATAGTGGTCAAGACCTGCACTCGACCACTGTCTATTTCAGAAATAACATACCGTGAGGTACTTACCATAGGTTTTGGAGAGTTTAGGTTTTCAGTTTCGACTATTTCTGCTGTTAATAATGCCAGTTTCACAAACAACTTTGGAGTCTTTCATACAGCTCATAGTGAAACCTGGAGTTTTGTCTAAATATTTAAAATGTGGTATTCTCTGTTCTCACGCTTGCCGACTAGTATTTCATTCCTGTGAGCCATGACTGGGATTACACTACAGCCACTAAGCATAAGATAACTCTCTAT